GTGGCGGGGACAGGCAGCCGTGGGACCCACAGCAGGAGTGGCCATCCTTGTGGTGACTTCCCAGGGGAGGGACGTCAGGGGATGACCTTCAGCTGCCCCTGCCCGGCTCTCAGGAGCCCTGAGGAAGCGGAAGCCTTCCAGCTGGACCCTACGTGGCTCCCTGGGCCTGACATGAAACTGCAGCCCAGTAGCCCGTGGCTGACTGGGGCCACCCACGTCCTCTGTGTTCCTAGGAAAACCACAGAGCGAACCTCTGAGCTTCTGCGCCTGCACTGAGGCAACCCGCCTCATCCCTCGGGGCTGAAGAAGCTGGCAACCCCTCCTTGGGCTGCGACGGGGCCTGAGTGGGACCATCTGCTATAAACAAGCCCTCAGGGCCGGCAGGTGGCATGGTGGTTAACGACGCTGGACTCCCACATGGCTGACCGTGGTTCAAGTCCTGGACCTGGCGGCTTGCTTTCTCACTTTCCCTCTCTCTCTCTGGTCAAATTAATAATAGTAATAATAATAATAATAATAATAATAATAATAAGCCCTCCTTTCCCACCAACTGTTCTTTCGCTTTCTGTGGAAAGCCTTGTCTTCCTGGAACAGTATTCAAACCGTCCGCCACAATTAAGTCTCTCTTTACCTCCAAAGTCCTTCTCAGACCATTTTAACACTGTCGCCCCCTGTGCTGGCTCATCGGGCTCATGTGATGATAAAGCACCACAGACAGGGTGGCTGAAACAGCCGCCAGCACTTCCCCATGGTCTGGAAGTCTGAGGTCACAGGGTTGCCATGGCTGGGTTCCCAGGCTCCTCCCTTGGTTTGCAGATGGCGCCTTCACCCCTCCACTGTGTGTCCTATCTCCCCTTCTTCTTCTTTTTTAAATAATTATTGTAGTTAACTTTAATTTATTAATTAATTTTAATTTGACCAGAGAGGGACAGAGTAAGTGAGAGAAAGCAAAAGAGAAAATGAGGAAGCAAGCTGCCAGGTCCGGGATTCGAACTGTGGTCAGCCATGTGGGAGTCCAGTGCCCTTAACCACCATGCCACCTGCCGGCCCCGTGATCTCCTCCTCCTAAGAGGATGCCAGTCATGTTAGATGAGGGCCCACCCCACTGGCCTCCTTGTAACTGAATGACCGCATCAAAGACGCTGTTTCCAAACGCAGTCACATTCTCAGTGCTGAGGCTGAGGCTGAGGCTGAGACGCAGGACTGGAGGGTGGCAACTGGGCCCCCGCTGTCAGCCTTCCTCTTCATCCTGGTTGCCCGCCCTTGCCTGCGCTCCGACCATGCCCAGCACTCCCTGACTGTGCCCCTCTTGCAGTGCTCGACGCATGCTGTGTGTGCACCCAGGAGCCAGCCCAAGCCACCGGGATTCGAGACGGTGGCCATAACGCCTTCCAGGAGACTCCACCTGGCCATCCTGTCCTTGGCACCCTGCCACACCTACCAGAGCCACCACTGCTTACAACCTCCTAGATCCACAGGAAGAGCCCTTCAGAGGAGGTAAAGGAGGTGGATTTGGGACTCCAGGAAACCCCTGCCCTTTCCAGGAAAAGCTTTGGCTATTCCTCCTTCTGTTACCCAGTCCTGCCCCGGCTCAGGACGCCGAGAAGTTCATCCGTGAGCTAGCCTCCTGCTGCTCCCTCCCTTGGCCATCGAGCAAAGCTGGTGCCGCTGACGCCCACTTACGGGTTCAAAAGTTGGCCCGAAAGGCCTCCCTTTGCTGGGACTAGCTCCTAGTCTCAAGGTTAGGGGAGCCAAATTCCACACGGCCAACCGCAGTCCGAATCCCAGCCCCGGCAGCTTGAGAAACACACCAGGCACACGTATGTGTGTGCTCCCAATCCTGACAGGGTGGGGGCATGGAGGAGAAGGGGCTGCGATGTGACCAGCCCACTGAGGGGTGGCTCCTCCCGCTGTCGGTCTGTCTCTCATAAGCGTGTGCCCCCTCTGGTAATTAAAAATAGAAGATCCCATTTTAGGGAGTACATTTATGAAGGGATCGCACTCTGCTGCCTGGGTCCCTGCAGCCTGACCCGGGTCTTCTCTGCAACCAGGCTCTCCACTCCAGAGACCTAGCCCGATAAGGCTAACTCTACGGTGTTCACAGGAGGGCCCCGCGGAGAGGAGTGGCAGGCGGGGGGAAGGAAGCAGCGCAGAGCCGTCTGGGCAATGCGAGAACCTGAAGCTTCTCTGGCCCAAAAGGGCATGACGCTGCGCTGTAGTCACACACACACGCGATCATGCGCGCACACACACGTCTGCTTACAGGCATGTTTTAGTTTACAGGAAAAAAACAGTTATAGGTTTACAAGGTGACCCCCACCCTTTCTTCATCAGCATGTTCTGGGAATCCATGCTGTAAATAATAATGTATAGTTAATTCTTTTTCTTTTTTTTTGGAGAGATTTTCGCTATAGGGCACGTGCGCTCGCCAGACAGACAGAGAGAGACATAGAGACAGAGAGCGAGAAATCACCCCCCAGGGGGGATGGTCACGCCGCAATCCCTTCTCCTCCATTCTCCTCTCGGGATCTTGGGCACGCACGCACACGT